TTTGGATTTAATAAACTAACAGGTCATGAGGCCGAAAAAAAGCAGAATCGGTGTGGCCTGTGTTGGCGTATTGCTAGCGTGCTAGCTTCATGTCAACAGGGTACCGAGTTCGATTCATACCTCCGGACACAAAACGCAAAATAGCGTGACTGTTGACGCTGTGGAACGAGGTATGCACGGAATCACATCCGTTCGAATTTGAGACCGCCAGGCAGGTATGCTCCCCTCGATCTCGATTGAGAGGAGAGATACGCGCGAGAATCCCGCAACATCCCCTAATGAACCCCGCAGCAGCCCCGAAAAGGGGCGAGGGGGGATTATAGGGGGGTGTGGGGTTCACGAACCCGCGACCCTGTGGTCCAACCCTCCCGGAAAAGGGAGAGGGGGGACTATAGGGGGGTGAGGGTTCCGCGCGACGACCACCACTGGGTCGCGCCGGTTGAAAAGCCGGGTGCATCACAGGGTGGGTCGGTGTGCGAGTCCCCGGAGCACCCTCGAGTGCGATGATGGGGATGTGGGGTGAGGGAAATGCAGTGACGAGGGAAAAAGGGGTGGAAAGATATGAGGAGGGAGAGATAGGGATGGTGGGAGAGATAGGGGGAGAGATAAGGAGAGGGAGAGAGGTAGGGGGAGTGATAAGGGGGGAGTGATAAAGGGGGGAGAGACAAGGGGAGGGAGAGATAGGGGAGGGATGAGAGAGGGGGAGGGATGAGCGAGGGGGAGAGAGACGAGGGAGGGATAGAGACGGAGGGAGGGATGGATGAGGCGACGGGCGCGGGGGGAGGAGACTAAACCATTTTACATACATAACAATGTGTTACGTCCGCGCCCGTCGCCTCATCCATCCCCCCTCCGTCTCTATCCCTCCCTCGGTCTCTCTCCCCCTCGCTCATCCTCCCCCTCTTCATCCCTCCCCTATCTCTCCCCTCCCCTTGTCTCTCCCCCCCTTATCACTCCCCCTTATCACTCCCCCTACCTCTCTCCCTCTCCTTATCTCTCCCCCTATCTCTCCACCATCCCTCCTCTCCTCATATCTTTCCACCCCTTTTTCCCTCGTCACTGCATTTCCCTCACCCCACATCCCCATCATCGCACTCGAGGGTGCTCCGGGGACTCGCACACCGACCCACCCTGTGATGCACCCGGCTTTTCAACCGGCGCGACCCAGTGGTGGTCGTCGCGCGGAACCCTCACCCCCCTATAGTCCCCCCTCTCCCTTTTCCGGGAGGGTTGGACCACAGGGTCGCGGGTTCGTGAACCCCACACCCCCCTATAATCCCCCCTCGCCCCTTTTCGGGGCTGCTGCGGGGTTCATTAGGGGATGTTGCGGGATTCTCGCGCGTATCTCTCCTCTCAATCGAGATCGAGGGGAGCATACCTGCCTGGGGTCTCAAATTCGAACGGATGTGATTCCGTGCATACCTCGTTCCACAGCGTCAACAGTCACGCTATTTTGCGTTTTGTGTCCGGAGGTATGAATCGAACTCGGTACCCTGTTGACATGAAGCTAGCACGCTAGCAATACGCCAACACAGGCCACACCGATTCTGCTTTTTTTCGGCCTCATGACCTGTTAGTTTATTAAATCCAAATTTTAACTTTGTGCTATTTTACAATAAATAATAAATTCCACGCTTTCCATTTTTTGTCCCGAGGTATGGTTCGAACTCGGCACTCTTTGGGTACGAATCCGTCGCTCTACCAATTACGCCAGCACAGGCCACATCGATTCTGCTTTTTTTCGGCCTCATGACCTCTTAGTTTATTAAATCTAAATTTTATTTTTGTGCTATCTTACGATAAATAAATTCCACGCTTTCCATTTTTTGTACCGAGGTACGATTCGAACTCGGCACTCTTTGGGTACGAATCCATCACTCTACCAATTACGCCAACACAGGCCACACCAAATCTGCTTTTTTTCGGCTTCATGACTTCTTAGTTTATTAAATCTAAATTTTATTTTTGTGCTATCTTACAATAAATAAATTCCTCAACGCGAACAGCACTACTTCTTCCCGTTTTTTGTCCTGATGTATGATTCGAACTCGGTACCTTTACGATACGAAGCCATCACTCTACCAATTACGCCAACACAGGCCATACCAATTCAATTTTTTTTTTGCCATATGACCTGTTAGTTTTTTTTCGTTTAAAATATATAATATCACCTACTTTGTAACGGTTTATTAATGTGATCGTCGTGGCGTCGCGCGTTGGGAGGTGGGAGTCGCTGGAGAGGACAGGGTAGCAGGTTCGAGACATGGTAAGATAACCAAGGTAAGAGTACATTAGTTCTTAACGTAGGTAAGTATTAGGTTAAGGTAGTGTAAGGTTATGGTAAGGTAGTGTAAAGTAAAATAGGAGATGGTAGGGTATATTTGGTAAGAATATTAATGTCATTAATGTAATAATCACGCGAATAATAATAAAGATATATTAGTAACAATGAAGATATTCTTGTAAAAAGAAGTAAATAACTCAAGACTGAGAACTTGAATTTGTTTTATAAGTTATAGTTAAGTAATTTTTTTTTATAAGTTATAGTTAAGTAAAACTGACCAATATTCAAAGTATATTAATTAAAATGAACTAATTGAGACTTTAAATAATAATATATATTAAAGTGATTGAAAAATGTTAACATTTTTGACATGTTTGAAATGAGTGAAAAACCATAGATTAGTCTATTTAAAATGGCCAAAGTTATAACTACATTAACAATATTGATCATGATAAAATTAGATTACAAAAATTATATTATATGAAATTTATTCAAAATATTGAATCCTCTTCGAAGAACGAATTAATGAGTATATTAATGTTTATGATAACATTAGCTTATCAGTTTATAATACCTGTACCTGTATCTTATGTTTCTAATATATATCACTAAAAATGGTGTGAAATGAAACACTCCAAATAAAGTTTAGTTAGTTTTCTTCAAAACTCTTAATGTATCACAATATTTAATAATTCAATTATATTAATTTATTGCAATAATGAAAATGACTAAAACACATTAAGATTTGTAATTATATTAATAGATATTGTATTTTATATATCTGTATCTGTATATATATATATATATATATATATATATATGAGTAAGTTCTTAAGGGCAATACATCAAACAAATAAATTTCTTTGTTTGATATATCGCCCTCAAGAACTTACTCATATGTCAACATCAAAATTATGTGTTTTTATATATACCTGTACCTGTATCTTATGTTTCTAATATATATCACTGAAAATAGTGTGAAATGAAACACTCCAAATAAAGTTTAGTTAGTTTTATTCAAAACTCTTAATGTATCACAATATTTAATAATTCAATTATATTAATTTATTGCAATAATGAAAATGACTAAAACACATTAACATTTGTAATTATTTTAATAGATATTGTATTTTATATATCTGTATGTATTATATATATATATATATATATATATATATATATATAATGAAATTGTTTCTTAGGCATCCATCCAGTAATAAAAAAACAGTTTTAATGAAAAATGTTTTTATTTTAAGAACATATGTTTCGGGTCCTGATTTGACCCATATTCAGTGCTATAATTAAATAATTCAGGGTTACAAATTAAAACAATATAAAAAATACATAATTAACAACCAAAAATAAGTAAAACAGTGTATATGAAAAGTATATATGAAAAACAACCATAAAATAAACAAATGTAAAGAAACTCACCATACAAATAAATTTTGAAAAACAACACAGAAACACAAAATTGCACGAAAAAATAAATAAATGTGAAATAAAAGATTGATGAAACGTCTAGTTATGAAAAATTTAAAAAAAATGTAAAATTAAAATAAATGATATATTTTATTATAAAAAAGCTTATTCCAAACGAACATGTTGTTAGTTTGGAAATTGTATTACGAGTGTGTACGAGAGTAAAATGTGTGCGTAAGTGTTTGCGGAAAATAGTGGAAACTGTATCGTCATTGGTGAGAGAACGGGATAGAGAGAATTTTAGTGGTTTCATATTACGAAGATTTTCTCAACGATCATGCGCAGTAGGAACATAGTAAAAATATATACATGTGTAAGACATCCATAATCAAATCCAAAAAATGTGAATAAAGAGAAAATTATTAAGAAAAAGTATAGATATTAACAGAAAAAGGATAATAGTTATGGAACGATAATAGTTACAATAAAAAATTAATATAACATATATATGTATATATAAACGCAAAACAATAAATGCATATATGTATACACATACACATATATGTAAATAGATACACATATATATATATATATATATATATATATATATATATATATATATATATATATATATATATATATATAGCACAGTATGATATTAAATTAAGTGATATTTATAGCTAAGAAAAGTACATCATTTAAAGGAGTAATAGAAAACACAATATTTAATTTAGAGAAGTCACCGGTCCGACACATTAAATGTTTAAGGCACTTCAACAACACAAGAGCTAAGTGTCTAGTACATGCTTTACAGTCAATTTAAACATGTCAAAAAAATCTACTTTTTTAAGTCAATTCAGTATTATCAAGAGAGCCAAGTGTATAGTTCTACAAGTCAAAGCACTTACGCAGACTTTGACCGAGACAAAGCAAACGTTTAAAGAAGTTGACCAAGATTTCAAGACACCCAAACAGTAAACAAACTGTTTTACACAATTGTCTCCACTAAAAAGTGCACTCAATAAGTATCCCTATTAACACAAGAATTTTTTAAAATTCGGATATGTTTAAATATTTTTGTAATTTACGTTACATCATAATGTAATTTGGCCGTAAAGTGGCTCATAATTAAATTAAAACAATCAATTAAAATAAATATAATATATTTATTCATTATTTCATCAACATCTATGCACTTAACTATTCAATATATCACAGTAGACACCTTCTCTGACGACAAGACGGAGATAGTTACTTGGGATAGCATAATTTGAAGATTGAGCGATTATTTTCACTGGAGAAAAAGTCTTGAGTAATTCCAGAGTTGAAGACTACTTAGCTCGAAGTTGTTCAACCTATGAACAAAAACAATGAATTAGTAACAAGTCTCATATAATATACTATAAAAAATAAATCACCTGATAAATTAGTCAGCGCTGTCTTTCAAGCAACATCAGTAAGACCTTCATAGTAAAACTCAGCAAGTGGTTTTTATAATAACTGATTAAGTTAGTGAGGTTAGTCGTGTTAGTGAGTTAATAAGATTTAAGTTAATCATGCATAATTATAGGCAGTCATTACAAAAAACCACTTGTGAATCATTTACATGAATGAGTATTTTAAACTCATGATGTTTTGAGTATCAGGGCAGTGATAGTTGAATTGAGAAAATCTGCAAAAAAGAAACATTTTAATAAAGTTTGTATTCATACTGGTTATGAATAGTCACATACTTGATTAAATGTTACTGGTGAAGGAGTCTGTGTGCAGAGCAGCAGAAGTTGAAAGGACCTGAGAAAAAAAAGAAATATTTTAGGAATGTTTGCATTTATACTGGTTATGGATAAACACATACCTGATTAAATGTTCCTGGTGAAGGAGTTAGTGTGCAGAGCAGCAGAAGTTGAAAGGACCTGAGAAAAAAAAAATAAATATTTTAGCAATGTTTGCATTTATACTGGTTATGGATAAACACATTCCAGATTAAATGTTCGTGGTGAAGGAGTTAGTGTGCAGAGCAGCAGATGTTGAAAGGACCTGAGAAAAAAAAGAAATATTTTAGCAATGTTTGCATTTATACTGGTTATGGATAAACACATACCTGATTAAATGTTCCTGGTGAAGGAGTTAGTGTGCAGAGCAGCAGAAGTTGAAAGGACCTGAAAAAAAAAATATTTTAGCAATGTTTGCATTTATACTGGTTATGGCTAAACACATACCTGATTAAATGTTCCTGGTGAAGGAGTTAGTGTGCAGAGCAGCAGAAGTTGAAAGGACCTGAGAAAAAAAAAATATTTTAGCAATGTTTGCATTTATACTGGTTATGGATAAACACATTCCTGATTAAATGTTCGTGGTGAAGGAGTTAGTGTGCAGAGCAGCAGAAGTTGAAAGAACCTGAGAAAAAGAAATATTTTAGCAATGTTTGCATTTATACTGGTTATGGATAAACACATACCTGATTAAATGTTCCTGGTGAAGGAGTTAGTGTGCAGAGCAGCAGAAGTTGAAAGGACCTGAGAAAAAAAAAGAAATATTTTAGCAATGTTTGCGTTTATACTGGTTATGGATAAACACATTCCTGATTAAATGTTCGTGGTGAAGGAGTTAGTGTGCAGAGCAGCAGAAGTTGAAAGGACCTGAGAAAAAGAAATATTTTAGCAATGTTTGCATTTATACTGGTTATGGATAAACACATACCTGATTAAATGTTCCTGGTGAAGGAGTTAGTGTGCAGAGCAGCAGAAGTTGAAAGGACCTGAGAAAAAAAAAAGAAATATTTTAGCAATGTTTGCATTTATACTGGTTATGGATAAACACATTCCTGATTAAATGTTCGTGGTGAAGGAGTTAGTGTGCAGAGCAGCAGAAGTTGAAAGGACCTGAGAAAAAAAAAAGAAATATTTTAGCAATGTTTGCATTTATACTGGTTATGGATAAACATATACCTGATATAATGTTCGTGGTGAAGGAGTTAGTGTGCAGAGCAGCAGAAGTTGAAAGGACCTGAGAAAAAGAAATATTTTAGCAATGTTTGCATTTATACTGGTTATGGATAAACACATACCTGATTAAATGTTCCTGGTGAAGGAGTTAGTGTGCAGAGCAGCAGAAGTTGAAAGGACCTGAGAAAAAAAATATTTTAGCAACGTTTGCATTTATACTGGTTATGGATAAATGTACACCTGATGTAATGTTTCTAGAGAGATTTCTAGTAAAGTAGTCGGAATGAATATTCTTGCATTTTTGAATTGGTTGTTGAACCAGGATCTGAAATAAAAAAAACATTAGAAATGTTATCATTGATGTTGCCTAGAGATTTCATAGAAGTGCTCATGCGTTACCAACCAATCCATCATGATAGGCTCTGTATAAAGTTTGAATTTTCAATGATGAGAATTTCATAAAAAAATGAAATAAAATAAAAAATTGACAGCATATGAAAATAATGATAAGCTAAATATTGATTTTTAGACACTTACTTGAACTTACTTCTTAGTCCCGTTTAGGAGTTTCTGTGGTCTTAAAAATGCCATAAATTTCTAAGTTATTCATACTTTGGATGCTTTCGAAATATTTTAATCGTATCATTCCAGTTGACCGGTGTGTAATAATCACAGTGTCCGATCATGTATGCCTAAAAAACAAATTATGAGGTTACAAATCAGTAGATCTAGTGAAGAATAAATAAAGTATATAAATACAATATAAATATAATATAAAATAAAATAGATCAATAAAATAAAATAAGTGTAAACTGAATTTTCACTCGATATTACTTGGCCCTCCGATACTCAACAATTTGTTTGATAGGAAACGTTGTGGTTTTCATGTGATTTCATCTCGATGCCCAGAAATATAGTTCTGTGAATTTACTAGCAGTTTAATAATTGCACTTGGTTTTATATGAAATGCGTTAAGATGAATTCGAAACAGTAAAAATTGAAATGTAATGTAATACTTCAAATCCACATTGCATAGACTTAAAAGATTCAAACGACCACATTATATTTTAGTAGAAGAATGGATTAGTAGTTGTTAGTATTTGTTAGTATTATTAGATATGAGAACTAAGAATGCAAATCATGCAAATGGTCATTTGATTCATAAAAGCCAATGCTTTAATGATTTCGTAAATTTGTAAAAGATAAAGCAAAAACTAAAAGTATCAATTAATGAAATCTTGGGTAAATTCACTGTTCAACAAATGCATTCATACCAAATGCAATTCCAGTAAGACCACAATTAGTGCATTACAGTGACAAAAACTGAAAGACTCTGCACAAAATGCCACAAATTCAAACGTACATGCACCTATAAAATACAGAAGTTAGTATGAAATTATGATGAACATCTCAGATATATTATTATCTAATGTTGATACGTCACCAAAGCTGCTTTCGTGAACTATGCAGTTGCTCCAGAGAAGCACAAAATAGTCTTTATCTGCATCTTCATTTTCAATCAAATTCTAAGAACTATTCTGTGCCATTTCCTTCTAGTAAATGAATAAAATAGTGTATGAGCACAAAGCCGTTCTTCAAAATTCTTGATAACATAAAGATTGTGCTCCAACATATGCAATTCTTCTGATCTATAAATTGAAATGAGTTAGCACATACTAATGATTTAAATAACACTTAAAATTAAACTACATATACAACTCACAAACTGATTAAGTCTCTCGATAAAAATGTTCATGAAGTAGCAGTTCAGATTTACTTTCACTTTGTGTGAGGAAAAACTTTGAAAAACAGTATTTTATATTTGTATAAACAATAGTGAATAAAATAAAATATTGCCGGAAGTCATAACCGAGTCCAACATATTCACAAATCACAATCACTTTTCGAATATATTGCACAACGTCCAATAGCCTTGCGATTGGAAGATCTTGCTTAGTCAACAAAATTGTTTTATTTAACAATAGACATTATAAAATGGAATATTTACGGTGTGCGTCTATGGCACTAATACGACTTGAGCAAACTATATAAATTGTAGCACATGTCATCTTTAAAGTATGACGCAATACTGTCGAACACGAAATGAAATCCGAGCGAATCCGTAAAGCGAAATCTATTTAGCACAATTACAACATACCAAATTATCCTCCAGGCAGCAATTGGTAAGGGGGCCTCTGTATTCCACGATGCTTCTTCAAGTAACTCCGATGAGAAAATGAATTTATGCCATGATGACATCCCACAGACAGGCATAAACCATAGATCTGCAAAAAGAACTTGTAGATATGCGACTACAGAGCATGCGAGTTTGTTCGGTCGAAGATGGCGCTGCATGTACTCGAGCGCCACTTTATTTGGAACTCCAACCAAGATTTGTTTGAACCTTTAATTTTAACAACAATAAATCCGTTATAATTTAAATAAAATAACATCTCTTTATATCTATATTGATGCTCGATTTTTTTAGAGTAAGTACTCTATTAATTTATACTGCAAGTATTTCAAGAGTTGTTAAAAACTTATATAACTAAAAAAAATGTTTCGTTTTGAAGTGATATCTAAAGAATGAAAATACATTTTCAAATATACTGACAAACTTTTTCTATTTTATTTACATTCATATAAGATAACAATTTTATTTAGACTCAAGTCAGTCTTACCGTGCACAAGTTATAAAATTTAAATTGATATACAAAAATGATCCAAGAGAGATCTTTAAAATCAAACATCAAATTTATTTAGTCATACCACAAATCTCATTTCTAAGTTAAATATTTAATTAATAATATTTTTTATTCGTGACATATCAATTTAAGTATTTGATAGTAGACATACTCAAATCTAACGTACCTCATTCTGGTACAAACACTACGTCCTGAAGAGCTCATTGAATCAATAACTATTTTACAACTACATCTGTCTAGAACAGGGTACGGCAAGCTTTTAACTGTGGTGTGCCGAGCCACTCTACCAATATGATTCAGGGTGCCGCCTTAATTTTGAAATATACAACCAGATTCTAGAGGAGAAGAATTATAACCAAAATATCTTTTAAACATATTTATTAACTAGTCTAGGCATGGCATCGTGCCTTAAGGCAAATTGCTGGAACTTCCCGTACCAAAAATTATTTTTTTTATAAAAGATTAACATTTTTGAAAAAAAATTACTCTGAAAAATTAGATTTTTGAGAAACTATAAATTGTTGACAAAAATTTACTTTTTTTGAAAAAAAAGACTTTTTGGAGAAGTGTATTTTGAAATATTCTGAAAATTCTGAACTTTTTTTTAAAGCAATCGTACTGCTTTAACTGCATAGAGACGAAATATCGAAGAGCCTAAGCGCCGCGTCGCCGTCTAACGGATAAACATTGGTACGGAACCCATAGGAATGTAAACAAAATGTATAGTTATTGTTAAAATGTCTATAAAATATCTGATAATTTGATGTGAATATGTCTAATGATCATTTTTGACCGCCAGGTGGCATCTCTTTCACGATTACTACTAGATTCATAAAAATTTGATCAATTCTTCTTCTTTTTAATACAAGTAAAATGTTTTTTGAATTATTCAAATCGTACGCTCTGTTCTCTTAAAAACTAAGTTACCGTTTTTGGCACTTTTTGCTCCATATTTCCGGAACGGCTAGACCTGCCTTCGCCAAAAACTAATCAGCACGTCTTCTTATCAATACGAATCGAATGTTTTTTGGATTATTCAAATCGGTTGGTCGGTGTTCCCGAAATCGTCGACAAAAATTTGTATCCGCACACGCACACACACATACATGCATTTTTTCTAAGGTATGCCAAAATGTTCAGAAAACTCTGAAACGTAAAGATATATAAAAATTTTCATTTTCGATTTTTTTGCGATTACTATAACTTACCGGACGGGAAGTTAACAAATAACATAAAATTCTAACATAAACTAAACAATATTAATGCGAACCTTGTCCCTGTACATTTATGCTTAACATTACAATATCCGGAGTTTAATTTGTAACACACAAGATTCTGAATGTTTAGTTGTTAAACGTCTTCTTTGTGAACTCAAAATATGTTTCATGTGAGAAAAAAATTGTTCACAGAGATATGTGAAACCAAAAGTTGAAAGGAAAGCGCATGCAATTTTCTTTAAACAATTAAATATTTCCGGCAAAGTCATCCAACAATTTAATTTTCCATGGAGTCATATTTTATCTATTTATCTCAAACGATTAAAAATCTCTGTTAACGTAGAAGAAGTATTAGGAAAATTAGCAAATCCGTTTTCCTGATTAAAGCACGAGCTTCTAATTCGGAAAGTTAATAAATAGTTTGAGTTTCTTATTTCAATAAATAATCTGCAATAAAAAGTTTTGAATAAAATAGTATGCAAGAATACACCGTGCATATTATACATACTTGTATCTAAGTTAACTAAAACCTGTTTCATGTTGAGAATTCTTAAATCAAAAGTTAGTTTAAATTGCCTTCTTTTAATTTATTATTTTAATTTCTATTCGCATCTCGCTTGTGGAATACAATTCTGGGGATTCTCTTCCTCCTTAAAGGATATATTCAAAATACAGAAAAGAGCATTAAGAATAATTTTTTCCCTCAGTTCTTTGTCCTCATGTAGGAATCTTTTCCGACAATTTAACATTCTCACTGTTCGCTGTATATTTTTGCTAATTACGTTGTCATTCATAAAGAATAATCCTGAACGCTTCCACCTATCCTCCATGTTAAATTCCTATTATAAAACAAGAAATTTGACTATAAAAGGACCAACTTTTAAACTTGAAACATCTTTTAATGCCATAGACGGGAGAGGAGTACAGCTTTTTAATCTACTCCCACTACACATTAGGAAACTGAATGATCGTCAATTTCATAATACTATTGTTAAACTTTTAAAAGCTCAAGTTTCTACGATACTTAAGTACTCAGAATTCTGAGTTTGCCAATTTTGATATCAAACGTTATTTTGATAATGAAATGCCTACTAATAATAATTGATACTTTTTTTCCAACAGAATTTTTTTCCCTTTTCAATGCTTTTTCTAATTTTTATTCTAAATTATTTTAACATTTTTCTACTTTAAGTATTTTATCATTACAATTATTTAAATATTGTATATTCTTATTTGATACTGCTCTTAATTTTTATTTTCCAGATATGAGACTCAAATAAAAATTGCATAACGGATATTTAAAGGATTTTTTTACCATAACAAGACTCTCAAGATCTACAACAATTAAACTATTTGAATTTTATTAAATTTTTTTTTCTTTAAGTTATTGAATTAGATATTACTAATGTTAGGCGTAATATTGTTTAATAGTTGTATTTTACTGTACTTAATTTAATTAAGATAATTTATTTTCTGTAATTATTAAATTTATTCCTGTATCCGTAAATATAAATATAAATATAAATATAAATTGATAATTATTATGTACAAACAAGCTATAAGATCCTCGACTATCTTATGTGTTGTAACAGCATCTCAAATGCAAGTTGCACGGTGCCTTATTGCCGTATTGCACTTGCACACGTTTGATTTTTTAACATTAATGCGGCATGTGTGTTCCACGAGTTGCTTTTAACTCGTGTGCATATGTCTACAACTATTCGATTTTTGCGAAATCGATTATTTACAATTTTCATGCGCGACCATGAGAGATAAAACGAGCGCATCTTACTACTTGTGGATGAAATCGTATTATACGACATATGATCGATATTACTTATGAAAATTAATTCTTATTACAAGTGTCCTTCTCAATCTTTAGCCCTTCTTAAAATCGATTTGCTCAATATCAAGTAGTATAGTACAAATCTATTATTATCGTCATTGCCAGTACATCATTTCTTTTGATACTTTTTATACTAATTTAAGTTTTTAAAATTTAAAATAAAAGTTTTTATACTAATTTTATATAATTAGCGATAATATCGCTATATATATATATATATATATATATATATATATATAAAATATATATATATATATGATATTTATTATATCATGTCAGAATTCGAGCATTGAAAAGCACTACATGAGCATCAAACAATCATGTTAATGGTAACTGAGCAAATAGAGTTGCCAATTCAGATTGTTCAACAAAAATATAATTTGAGTTTGATCGATATTTAGAACAAGGTCGCCTTCATTAAATCAATACACAATTCCAATATAACCATTCAGCGCTGTATGAGCTGTAATTCATCGATGATATCTCTATGAGCAACGAACAAATAGAATTAAATCAAAAAGGAGATGCTTATTATATTATTTGCAAGCAGAGACAATATTTAGCAAACTAGTGGCGCTTGGCATTGAGATCAATGATTAATAACTATTGTTTTGAATGTGTATTATAATTATTCACACACACATATGCACACCTTTTAGCTAAGGTATGCCAAAATTCTTATTTGAAACGCATCATACTTTCGAAACGCAAAAATATCCCAAATAATTTTATTTATTTTTTATTGCGATTACTATAATTAACCCTATAGAAAGTTAATTATATATTATCTACCAATTAGGTTCGAAATCAATGTTAATCATAATGATAATACGTGTCCACAAAATATAGTTGTCTGCATTGGGTGTGCGGTTTTCCAATGTAGTTTTTACCGCTGAACACGAATGAGAATTGATTTTCACTTCAATGATTTTTTTGTATAATTCAGCAGTAATTTGCGAACATATTTACTCTCTATTGCCCCTGGGTTATCTGCAAACACACAATAATTCATTCAAGTAAATATTTAAGGTAAAAATGGCCAGGAAACAACAGAAACTAGAAGATTTTCTTTATATTGCAGATGATTACCTGTGAAATTAATATTATAATATTTTTTTATGTCGTATATCATTCGCATTTCTAAAATAATAACCAAAAAAATAAAATATTATTCATTATAAATGAATTAAAATAGAATTAAAGCTTCTGAACTAGGAAAATCACTCAAGAGCAGTAATAATGAATTAAGAAAATGAAAATGTATTTTCTAAAATTAGCAACAGAATTTTGAACACTAAATTAATTTTGAAATTTTGATCATATGCGAAGCGTCATAAAAATATCAAAGTTGTAAAAGTATTTTTTTTAATGATCGAATTTATTGAAAACATCTCAACACCATGTTATTTGATCACATTTAATAGGTAGCGCGGAGAACGTTCTATTGTATATTGAATCACTTTTCTACAGATGATCATATAACATCGTTACAAG